GATATCCTGGGAGATGGTGGACGGACCGGTTCTGTAGGAACCCTACCGGGATTGTGGTCTCACATGCCGGACGGGGTATGGAGATTTTATGGTTTTGGCGCCCATACCTGGACAGGGTATGGGGACGGCCCGTTTCACCCTCATACCGGGACGGGGTATTGAGGTTTATGGTTTTGGCGCCCATACCCGGACGGGGTATGGGGACGGCCCTGGAAACTGATTTATGAATGTTAAAGGTTAACGGGTAGCGGGACCCCTATGGACCCCCACGGATACTAGTAGGCTGGTAAATGAGAAAAAGATATGTTGTACAATGATTGAATTACAAGAGGCGTGATAAGTGTTATGTTTTACAGCTTATATTATTCTATGATTATGATAATGTTATTGTTTTTCTTATATTGTTTTCATAAATTCCACCGAGGTAAGTGGATGGAAAAGGTTTTTATGTTAATAAGCGAGTTTGTTGTAAATTATGCTCCATTGGTCTTTTTGTGTTTTCTACCCACCTTTACCTCCGTGACGGTGAGATATCGTGATGTTCTTACTGGGCTAGTGTAACTCACTCCTTATTTAATCATTTCAGATCAGGAAGACATGGTTCCCGAGCTCGTTCCGCAGGAGGACGACGCAGGGGATGCCTAGAGACTCTGTAGTCATGCTCATAGCTTTGTTTTCGAGTTTCTCTTTTAGTTAGTTTAACCTTTTATAATTTAAGTACGTTTTTTTTTTGTTTTCGTGTAAGGGATGTTAACTGAAATTTTGATCTCGCTTCCGCATTTGATATATTTAAATACTCATTTCATTTTAATATTTCTGGGACGTCACAACATACGTGACTAAATGATGATTTGTTGAATAGGTCACTTCCATCCTAAAGTTGTTTACCTTTTTTTTTTTAAACCTAAAAAAAAACGAAAGTTTAATCTTTGTAAAAACGTTCAATTAAAGATATTTTTTTAATTAAATATCTAATATTTTGAATTCCATTTAGTTAAAATTTTGCCTAATTATAAAATTAATATAAAAAATTTTAAAATAAACTAAATTTGAATCTAAAACATGCTCGTATCGAATTAAAGAGATTAGATATAAAAACAGAAACGTACTTAAAAATATAACGAAAGAAATATGTACGTCATATGATAGATATTCTAAATCAACACGTACTCCTTTGGAATTTTTACACTTTCTCTATTTCTGTTAATAATATAACAGAATAGAAAAATTTTGACGTATGATTTGAAAATCATAACCACCTATTTATATCATTAAGATTTTGTTATTTATAATTTTACTTATTAAAAAAATCATAAATTACATCTTTGGTCTTTTCACATAAAAGAAAATTCATATTTTAATTTAATGTATTAAATCCCAAAATACTTTTAACTATAACAAACTACTTTAAATGGGTCTAATTAAAATCAATTAATACTATAAATTATACTGTCAATGCCAATATTATATATATGTAGCATGTCAAGTTATTTTCCAAATTAAATTCAATACTAGAGAATACAAAAGACTTTTACTTTGTATTTATAAAAGACTACTATAAAATGTTTATTTTTGGTTTGGATATGTTTATATTTCATTAATTTTTACTATTTATAGTTAGTAATTGATTATAATTTTAGTTATAATTTATTATTATTTTATTTAGCAATTATTATAATATAAATCAGAACTTCAACGGTAATAAATAATAATTAAATCATAACAAATTATAACCAAAATAATAATAAAATGAAATGACATAATTTATTGGTATATCGAAATATATTTTAATATTTGGGATTATTTTCCTAATCTTTATTTATTACCTCCTAGGTTTTACGTTTTCTTTAATTTATAAACCTGTATAAATTTACATTGTATCTGAAATAAGAAAGTAAAAGTAATTATTAAATTGGCAAAAAAGTTGCATATGTATTGAAAGTGAAGAAAAAGAAGTTAAACCCACAATTAAAATGTTAATTATGATTCCTAAGTAATACTATATTTTATAATGTCTTCTATATATATATATACACACACACACACACACATATATATATATATACACATTGGGTCAACATGTGGGTAAGATACACTTCTTCAAGAATTTCAGTTTTTATTTATTATTTTTTAATTAGGAGAGAGGGGAGACATGGTATAAACGTAAAGCACTAATCTTCTAAATAGAATAATATAACGTAGCGTACCATAAATATAAATTAAATATAAAATATGTATGCATAGATTCATTAACAATTTAACATATGATGGGAATGAACCTTATGCTAGAGAATCATGATTATATTATTTTTTAAGTTAAACTACAATGACTTAATTTTACTTTAATTTTTCAATATTTTTGCAATTTTTTAGTAATTAACTCATCATTACCATGTAATCTTCCATTGAAACTTATAGTTAGGTGAAGAAACACCTACACACTGCATATTCCATACATACATATATAGATATAAATATATCACCAAGTAGCACGTACATATATATATATATATATAATATTAGTAACAAGATGCTGCCTACCAAAATTAGGACACCTTCTTTCCCTTCCCTGTAAAAAGTTAAATAAGCATCTTATTAGCCTTTCTAGGAAAAGGCTAATAAGATTGTTATACGTGAAGAATATGTTCCCCAAAAGTTTATATATCATTAATTCGTGAAAATAAGTAAATAGAACTTTTAAAAACTGTGTTGGAATATATATATATATATATATAGTTTATATTTCAGTAAAGGATTTTTTAAATTCTTGAGGAGCAACATATAAAGTACATAGAAAATTTTCATCTTCAGCAAAAATTAAATCCAATTCCTTAAGTAAATTCAAGGTCGAAGCAGAAATAGCCCCAATATAAAATTTTTTGCAAATCTATCAATGAAAAGGTAAATACATAAACAGATATTTAATGAGAACTGAACAAACTGGTTAAAAAAAAAAAAACAGTAGGTATGAAATCTTATCAATGAATGCAGTAAAACAAAAAGAAACGTACTGCTCTATTATTTCTAAGAAAGAATACAAAAGTCTAGAAGATGATACAACAATTAGAGTGAATGATGAACTGAAGATAATCTTATCTAACTTCCTACAAAAATGGCAGCCTACAGAACAAGTTTCTATAACTTAAACCATTCCCAACTTGTCTAAAGTCCATTCATTTTTCTGGAAGAAAGAGCAGAGCAGGCATCCAATACCTCCATTCAGCTTGCAACTCAGACAACTGCTACGCATGCAGTTGTTTGGGCTGCTACTTCTGTTCGGAAGCCTTGTCCTCGCCCCTGCCCACGGCCCCTTCCCCTACCACGTCCACGAGCTGCACAATTCCATTTGTCAACCAGTAACAAAAATTATATACTAATTTGTTACCCGTATTTATTTGAAATCATAAGCTACATGGAAATATTAAGGGGCTATGATAATCTTGTAGAAATGCAAAGACAATTTAAAAAGTTTCAATTATTATTTGACTATCCTGAGCTCTCACTTTTCACAGTATGAGATGAAAAGTTATTCCCAGACTTCAAGTTGGTGATTTAACTTCGAGAAAGGTAACAATTTTCAGAAAAGCGAAACCCATATTGCTTATGCTACTAAGAAGATTTTCATCAGTATTATTTGGAGAATAATCGAACAGGCATACTCATCATTTTCATTTACCTGCTTCTGGAAGCAATAAGCACAAAAAAAAAAAGTGCATTAAAAGACAATAGCCTGACCAGATGGATATACTGATCTTAGCATTTTCATTCATTCATCGGATAAGCACACAAATACAAGAAGAGGGCATCTTTATAGGCCTTAAAGAAGCATCCTAACAAACAATATGATAAATTATGAATTAAATAACCACTCACCAGGACCTGGGGCACCATAACCATTGTAATAGCCTGACTCCTGCTGCATATTTACGCCACCGTAACCCCTTCCACGCCCTCTGAAGCCTCTTCCACCATACCCTCTTCCCCGAGCTCTTCCTCTACCCCCGTATCCACGCCCACCATCTTGAAATCCATTAGCATAATCAGTCATGCCATTATTGTTTGCTGTTCAAGACAGAAACTTAATTATTAACATGTTAGGAATGCAGGCAACTTCCATTTTATTCGGCCATTAGGATATCATCTGCACGAGTGCATCCACCAAAGCCAGTAAATAGTCTCAAATAGAAATAAATTCCCCAGTTTAGATGTATCTATGGACTTTACAATGACCTCAATGATTGGAGGAGCTAGTCTAGGATTCTAAGAGACATTATGGTTTTTCATCTGAATTTACACTGATGCGCTGACTCTTGTCATCCACTAGCCAACGGGAACTAACATTGGTTGGGGCATGTACAGTCACAATGTTCATAAGCTTAAATTTTCTGAAAGCCAACAAGATGACATGATTATTCTAGCAAGTTGGCAGAATTAAGGTCTCATTCCAATGGGCACAAGGCATGAATAGGCTGTATTTATTCTTATTATAAAGAAGCTTATAATGGTCCAAGCTACTGGAAGCCAACAGTAGATGTTCAAATTTGGATGATATAAGAGAAGAAAGAAACTCTGGAGATTCCTTTAGGAGGAATAAATCTGGCAGCTTTTAGATATGTCAATTGTACGAAGGCACTAGATAGGGTTCACCATATAGTGTTTCTCATTAAGAATTATAAGTTGTTATTTCAAAAAATAATAAGAAGAAGAATTGTAAGTTGGTTAAAACCAATGTAATAGACATTTGAGGAACTTCGAAGTGTAGGCGAATTTATTGGTAGCTTGACAACATCTGTTGCTCTTTCCAAAGAACTAGATTTCAAACCTTACACTCAAGAAATAAAAAGAAATTTATTTTTTAAAGAAAATGAAACCTAATTTCTTTGTTTGTATAACTAAAAGTAAGAAATTAAAGGAAAGAGAGTGTTGCTGTATAATTTTGTTTGGTTTAAAAGAAAAGGAAATTATTAATGATTAAAAAATTGCCAGTTATACCATTTGTTAAGAAAATGACACTAAAAATTTAAAGGTTAAATAGAAAAGTAACCTTTAGAATTTTAAATGTCTCGTTCCCCCTCCTTTCCTTTTGTTATTTGGGAGACTATAAAAAATTGAAATTTGAAAAGTAGGAACACTCAGTATCCCTCATTTTCCTTCACTAACTTTTCATATTTCAACTAAACAAGGAAAAAGATAGTTGGCATCCCCCGCTTCCTCTCCTTTTCCCTCACTTTCACTCAATCCAAACATAGTGTTAAGGACTTCCAGCTCATAGTCCCAGTGGAGTATATTCACGATGCTGATTGTTAAGGTATAGGTGGTAAAGCCAAAGAATTGGTGGATTAAGATTTGAGATTAAGGAATCCCTTCTCTCCACTTCTCATCATTTTCAAAAATGAAAGCTCTTAAGATGTGTTTTTTTGGACAGTGTAGCTCAATCTAATGTCAGAATAATAAGATTACCTCCATTCCTTCTTTGACCACCACGTCCTTTGCCTTGGTTGCCAGGAGAGGCCTCTAAATTTACAAGAATCAAAAAGTATTGATTAATTCTGAATCTAAAAAAATTAAAGATGCATATAAATTAAACTTATTCTCCTTACCTTCATCATCATATTCTGCCAAAGGTTTCACTTGGTCAGCTGGAAGTGGTGGCTGATATCTGTAGTTATGCAAGAAAAAATTCCCAATGAAAAGCACCCCATGGAAGACTATGGTAGAGTAAAGGACATAGTTATCTGAAAAGCATACAACATGAAAATCATAGATAAACTATTCAGTTGTTGGTTTTAATCAATAGTCTGGTTGAGATTGTTTTATACTTGTATATAAGAAAATCTTGTACTCCATGAAATAGAGATTTCCTTCAGTTTTTTTTTTTTTTTTTTTTGGGGGGAATATAACTTAAACATGAATTATAAGAAAATTGCATTTATTCCCTTCAATTCAAACGGTCAGATTCTTCTCCTCTTATTTTGAACAGCTGTGTCATTGAGTTAGGAGTTGTTTTAAAGGTTTTAAGAGTCTACTTACAACTAAGGGTTGTAAAGTTTTTTTGGGGGAGCAGGAGAGACAGATATATAAATTATGTACACTTATGATGTATCAGTCACACCCTATCCAATGAGGAAAGATGTAGACATGATGGATACTTGGATTGCTGTAAATCCTATAGTTCTTTTTTTTTAAACAAAGTAAAGTATTATTATGCACATAGGTACCAAAGGAGTACAGCCCGTATACAAAATAATTTCATATAAATCCTATAGTTCTATAAATGGACAATACCTCCATGATTCCTTGTGCGCTATACACTCTTATTCTACCAAAAAAAAGGTTTATTGCATATCTTAAATATAAATAAAACCCAGTTTTTGGCCCTTGTATAATTCTTTGAAAGCTAGGTTTGCTTCATTAGTGACAACTCTTCATCCCAACCTACAAAGATTCAAAGGGTGTACTAAAGTATTCAACAAACTCCACATGTTCATAATTAAAGTATCAGTAAAATAGAAAAACAAGCAGTCAGCAACACAAACTTACTTGCTCTCGCAGCTTTAGAAATCAAATAAAAGCAAACGGACTCAGTTAAACCAGGAAACAATTTTTGATATTCATTCTAGGATGAATTACATAGAAATCCTTGAGTTTTGATTCTATCTACTATCAGTTCAATTACTTTTTTAAAAATTACATATCAGACCATATATTTTTTTTGTTGAATGTGATTTTTATCTTCCACACAGCAAGAATCAAAACTAACTTTCCACCATTGGGGAGAGCAAATGTAACCAGTATGATAACAACCCTTGGTCTTAAATCCTTCTATTCTAAAAGTATATGTCAAATCCATCCAGTAAAATAACAGACGATAAACTACCACTAACTAACACTAGGAATTTTATTTGTTTCCCTCTTTTTTCATTTTTTTCATTCTTTTTCTTCTTTTCTCTCCCCTTCTCATCCATCTCTTTCCTCCACTCTCACTCACTTCCTCTCATGAACTTTCCTTTGGATCCACTACAGGCCCTCAAAAGGTTGTTTCAAATAAAATCATCAGCTTCACATTTCCCATGAAATCTAACAAGCTTGAACTTCATGTAAGTATATAAATGTATATGTATGGGAACTATGATGAAGCTCACTTATCTCTTGGCTGTTATTCACCAGCATATTTTCCATTAAATTTACTTTATAATTTTTGGCCTGAAGGTATATGTCTTCAATTAAAAACCTAAGAAATGAACTGACTATCTCATGTGGATTCCTTTGACTTTCAGGGCTAGCAACTAAATGATATTTTTTCTGCATATTCAATCTCGAATTTTTCATAATTCCTTCAATCTCCAACTTGTAGGCAGAGTAAAATTTGAGTTAGAATTTCCTTTTTTAATGAACAGAGTTGCTGAAATTTAGAGGGTAATTTGTTTAGCTAAAATTTTAAAAAGGTAAATACAAATAAGATTGTTCCAGTCCTTCTCTATATTTTTGTAACCGTGAGTTAATAGAAGATCTTATTGTAATCTTAAAAAAGTAATGAATCCAGTTGTCATTAGACTCAACCTGAAGAATTTCGTGTAATTTACACTTAAGTCTGAATATTAAAGCAGCAACTGGCCATTCCTTGTTCGTGTCAAAAGCATTTAAAACTAGCAACTAGAAATGAGAAACAAAAATGGAAAACTTCATTGCAACTCGCATGACACAAAAATACCCCTAAATTAAATAACATCCTATTCCTGCCTATCTAGGAAGTTTTCTATCACATCATCCATTGCCACTCTATATTCATTATAAAGAAAAGATATATGCCAGAAAAACACTAACATGGACCATGAATTGACTTTGTTCTCTCAAGAAAAAAAAACATATGAAAATAAATTCAAAACAGCTAGTTTCAATTTACCCTGCAGAGGACAAATCCAGCTCCTTCTTAGACAAAGTAATTGTGATAATTGAAACATGACGGGTGGTTTCCAGACTGCAAAAGTAAATGGCAAATGAGCCAGCGATATACTGCAAACATATAACAAGATGTAATTTAACAGCAAAAAAAAGGAGATTTTGATTCTTACGGAAGAAGGCCTTCTTCTAGGGGCTCCCAGGTGTCAGTTATATCAATAGAGCCTGTTGTTGTATTTTGATGAAGACCAACAATCCTCCTCTGGAAAAAGTAATGCACTTAAACATTTAGAAAGAAAAGAAGAAAAAAAAAAAACATAAATCCTAGATTTATGACAAAAACGCTCCTTGACTTGCTATATATACAGAATTGACATCTGATAAGTCAAGCTATCAGGGAAGAGAGCACAGAGTGACAGTTGATGCATTTAAGAGAGATATGGATCCATCAAAAGATAAATGTAGTTTTAATCATTTTGATATTTAATTGAAAATGAAAAGAATCAAACTCTAAAAAGCACCTTAATTAATTCAGCAATCATAACAGTCTTATTGATCGCTCTACCAGTGGCTTTGAGGACAATCTCATCGACCCCTTTATCCTGCAAAAGAACATAAAACACAGCTTTCAGAAAAATAATTACATGGGAATACACCTAGCAAAATCCCGTCTTTACATCAGGTATGTGAAGTAAGAGGGTGTTTGACTCACTTCAAAGGTACAAGGCTTATAAGCTTATAAGCTCTTCAAGAAAGTCCCATCTAAGCAAGGGGAATGTGTAATTAAGAGGGAATTTTACTCACTTTAAATGTACAAGGCTTATAAACTTATAAACTCTTCAAAGTTGATAAAAGCCCTTTTGCAAATAAGTCGTTGAAGTATTTGATAACCCGAGCTTATAAATTGTATTAAGTTATTACATGTTAGTAAAGACATAAGCTATAAAATGTTTTTATTTAAATAGATATAAGCTATAAAATGTTATGTTTATCAAATGACGAGAAGAGGCTCTTCAAGAAGGAGTTGGATATATTGTATATGGATAGAATTTTTAACATTATTATGGGTTATCAGGTCTCTTATATAGCTTGTAATAATATCTCTGGAAATAAAAGCCACATCCAACAGTCCTCTTAAAAATATTTTTGAGAGAGTTTAAAAGCTGTCTACATATAAGTTGTTTGTTTTTTGTCAAATATGTAAAAGAAATTCAAAATGTAGTTAGAGAGCTTATGTGTTCGTACTTTAAAAAAACAAATAAAAAAAAGCCATACACCCTCTAATACCGTAGCCCCATTGCTACCAGTTAATACCTTCAGTTGGCTCTTACTGGCATAGTTTGGCAGGAAACTCTACTAAACCAGACAAGAGAAATCTCATTTCCTTAATAAGTGAATCAGAAAATCTATGCCCAAAAACCTACTTCAATCAGCAGACTTTTTATTCAAACAAATGTCACTAAACTATAATCACTACCAAAGCAAAGTACCATTCCTACACGGAAGCATTACTACAAAGCACCAAGTTAATTATACATATGAGCAAAGGAAGAACATTTGAAAAAGAAGAAAAAAAAAGTACCTGGAGAAGAGAGAGA